TAAAATTTGCTATACTACAGGTAGTACATTTTCTGAACCTATTTTTTATTATATAATTACTAGTAATTTGCTAAATTATGGCTTAGCTCAAAAAAGTTTAACAAAAAAAATAAAATTCTTTTTTAAAAAATTATATAAAATCAAAAATAATATATAAAGCTATCAAATTTTTTTATATAATATCTAATATCTAACAATTTATAAATATTAATTTAAAAATATAATTAATTATTAAAATTAATAGATAATTAGATTTAACAAGTGTACTACATGTAGTCTTTTGTATTCTCAGTAGTACAGGTAAATTCAATCCATTAATATTAATTAAATTGTATATTGTATAGTTGTTATAATACTTAACAAATTAACTGTTAACAAGATGCCAAGTTTTAAAAAACTTACTTGTTAAAATTTAGAAATTTATATAATAAAGATATCATTTGTTATAGTTGTAAAATCAAAACAAAGATTAGAATATGAAATTAAATATTATATAAAAATTTTTATTTCTAAAATTAATCAATTTGATACAAATCAGCCTATTCTTATATACAGAATGTAAATAAATTAAATCATAATAATATATTTAAATATTGTTTTGGGTGCAAAAATAATCTATTAAATAATTTATATTGTGCAGAAAAAATAAAACCATTAGGTGTATAAGAATTTCTGAAGTTAAAAATATCCTAGCAAATTATATATTTGTTAAAGAAGCAGCACAAAGCTAAAATGCTAGTATACTTATAAAAACAATATGCAAATATAAAAATAGTATAGTACTAATAAATATTATTGCAATAAAGTTGATGTTGGATATGGAAGTAAATATTATAGTGAAAATACATGCGATAACAAAGCTAAAATTAAATATATATACTAAATTAATTATTTGTTATTTTCTGCTTTATATATAATTGATGATTTTAATTTGATGCAAGTTATAAATTTGAATCTTATGCATCTCAAAATTAAATTTCAATCTGACACAACTCAGTTTTAAACCTATGCAATTTTAATTTATACACAACATATATAATAGATTTTTATTTTTAATAATGAGTATTAACAAATCAAATTGCTAGCACGTAACTAGAGTAATATAATTAGTTAAATTTCTTTATGCCAAATTTCTGCATTACTATTAAAATTACCAAAATTTGATTTCTTATAATATTTGTAAAAGCAAGATATTAAAAATCTGTCTTACAGATTTGTAATTTAGTTTATAAATAATAAATTTGTAAGAAGGATTTTTAAAATAATTATTTGTTATAAAGTTATTAGACATTAAACAACTGCTAAAAAATTGGATATTTTTGCTGTCCTGTACTGTATAAATTTTATTTATATTTATCTATATAAAAAATTTAATTTACTTTAACTATTTCTTAAAAGGCACTAAGGTAATCACCACTTTGTACACAAAGTAAAAATGCTCAAAATGTTAAAAAACCTTTTCTAAACTCCTAATTTAAATTTAAAATCTAGTTCTAGCTTTAATATTTAATTTAAAATTGTTTTTGTAATTTTACATAATTCTATATAGAAATATATATAGATTCATATAAACATGTAAATCTATATTGAGTTTATAAAATTTTATAAAATCTAATAAAAAGTCTATATAACTTTACATAAAAATTTTACATAAGTCTATGTAAAATGTACTTTGTTATGTAATAAGGTTGATATTAACAAGGGTTAAGAGTGTATATATATTAGATTTACTTATAGTTAAAAAATATCTATATAGCCAATGTTCCAGAGGCTTGGAAATAATATAAAGTACATAGTACCAGTGTTGTACATTTTGATTTTAAAACAATAAAATATATGTAAAATTAAATTTTAACCATTCTATTTAAGAGCAAAAAGAAGGTTATCTTAATAAAATCTTGAATTATTATCATTTTTTAAAATCCAAAATTTGTCACAATTGTCCCATGTACAACATTGCATAGTACCACTTATTTACATAATAAATGTTAATTGATGTTAACTGAATTCTTAATATTTGTGATTGTTTGAATATTTATCTCACTGGATAACCTTTCAAGTTCAGTTAAAATTTCGTCTAACGTTGGACGCTTGTTGGGTTCAGACTCCCAACATCTTCTGTAGAGGTCAACATAATTCATGGGAGTGCCGGGTACCATTTTCTCCCTTTCTCCTAGTGAAATTTTTATTATTATAGCATGATTTGGCGAATCCGAGAACGGGGGTGATCCACTCGTGAGCTCCCAGAATATTACACCTAGACTATAAATGTCAGACTTCTCATCACGTTTAATCTTGTCATCAGGATAGAGATAGCATCTTGGCTCAACATATGCTGGTAAGCCTTTTACACTCGTAGTCAAAGTTGCACTGTCCATTTTTTTTGATAATTCAAAATCCGAGATTAAAATTTTACCGTTATTCATTAGAATGTTATTAGTGTGCTAGAAGAGTTTATGTAAATAACTTAGTATTTTAAAGGACTTAAAATTTTTACATAGACCAACTACGTACCAAATCCCTGTGGCATACTTTTTTTTCATGCAAGAAACTTAACCCGTAGGTGATTTCAATTGCAATATTAATAAGATTGATCCAAAAAATCTCAAATCTACCATTTTTCCATTTTGATTGTAAATAATTGCGTAAACTTCCTCCATTAGCCAATTGCAATATAAGCATGAAATTATCCGTTAGTGGATCTAAATTATAACCTAGTTATTATTTATGTCATTTAATTTTAGGATATACTTCTTCATACCTTTGGAAACTCCGTATAATCTAATGATATAGGGATGACGCATTTCATGTAACATTTTAAGCTATTTGCATAATAAAACCTATTAGATTATTATAATATGATACCTTGCGTGTGATAATGCTATTTAACCACGTATGTTTGTAGTATCAACTACAGAACTATTTTTAAATTAAATAGCACTATTTGTGATGTCACTGAGGAAAAGAAATATGTATGCAATAGTTAACGGGCTATACTTGACATCTTAATATCAGTAGATTAGTGTTTGTAGTCCTAAATCTGTCTACTCGACTAAGCCGTAATTTAAAAATTAGGGGAGGGACAGAAATCGTCGGATTTCTTAAGGGGTGGGGCTTGTGATTTAATCAATTTATATATTATAATAATTGAATGGCTAATGCTTGAATCGGATGGGGTGGGTGGTATAGCTTCCTAGTAATTAGAAGTCGCCTGATTTATGTCCCTCCCTTTAGCAAGCTATGCAATTAGGTTCTTGGCATAATAAAATATTTGACATGCCAGACGGCATGCCAAATTCTAAATTTCATGCCACATGCATGTCATACATGCCATAATCACATTAGGTAGCTGCACCGCTAAAACCAGGAACGGAAAATGCATATATAAATTAATCGATAGGGACACTTCAATGTGTACAGTGCTAATATTAGATTATTAAATGTTTTTAATCAACACTATTCATTACGGTTGACTTTGACTGTAATCTAAATAGTACCGATTACAGTACTTATAACTCTGGTCAAATTTGCAAATAGTTTGGTCAAACCCAGAACCTACCTATTCCGAATTTGGTTAAACAATCTACAAATTTGACCAGAATTATAGTAATCGGTTTTTACTATT